ACTTTGTTAGGGCCCCGGTTGCCAACCAAAACACCAGGGCTGACTGGTGTAAGACTTGCTCACTGTCTTTGCCACACTCTTGGGTCTAGTCTGCCTCCCTACCCTCTAGTTTCGTGCCAGGACCTGGCTCCCGCTGGCCCCTCCCGACCTCCCCATTCCAAAGGCATCACACATGCCAATTACCCTGAACTTCTAACAGGCTGAGAGAACAGAGGCCTGTCTGGAGTAAGCACATGGCATTTCCCTCCCTGGGAAAACCCAACAAGAGGAGGCTTGGTCTTTTTTGGTTTGCAACCAATTTTATCCCTCAAAAGGTAGAGGATTCCACAGAGGAAACTGCTGGTTTGAACTGTTCACAGAGAGTCAGAGTAAGGTAGTGGGAGGAGCTTCCGCTACATGCTCAGAAAGACCTGAGTTCGATTCTCGCCTTGGTGTGAACCCGAGTTCAATTCCCACCTTGGGTGAGACCCAATTTCCTCATTCGTATTATGAAGATAATAACCCTATCCATAGGGCTATGGTAAAGATGAAATGTGAACTCAGTGTTGAGCTTGAGCATGTTACTACACACTAAATGCTCACCTGACCACCCTCTCTACCTGCATGCCTATGGGTTTGACACGTGTGAAAGTCAGATTTCCAAATGTTAAACGGAAACAAGTGTTTGCTCCTGTGGTCAGAGATGCCAGAAGGAAACCTTGAGTGCTATTGTATCAATCCTCATAAGTTTTGAGGGGTTTTAGCTATTTGGATAATTAAATATTCTATTCTTTAGAAATGAATGGGGAACACTGTTCCAGCTTGGATCAATCTCACAGGGTTTTCATTGCCATCGTTATTTTATAATTCTACTTGGAACACGTTGGTTCCAATGTGGTGAGTCATAAACTAAGCATGCACCACTGATGTTCTGCGCCATCTGTAGGTGAATCTTCCATGTGTTGAGATGTCACAGACAACAAGAGTTGCCAAATACCAGCTATACGAAAAGCTAGAATACGTGATGGCACATGGTGTTCATCAGCTTTATCACAATATCGCAACGGACAATTCTATTACACGGTAGCAGAAATAGGCATTTTTATGTGTTGCTTACATTTTACCTCAAATTAAAATGTAGATGTAGGGTAATAAATGAAACCCACCCATGTTTTTCACATACTAAAATAACTAATAAATAAAATAAAAATTAACAGGTCATGACAGCAAAGTAGGTGTCAAAGCTGAACAGACATTCACCCTGAAAGGACTAGCAGCTTTTAGTGGGTGGTGAGTCAACGTGAAAACTAACGCCATTTGGGTCTGCATTTCTGGATGCAGGTGATCTAGAATAAAGGAAGAATTTTCATCAGGTGCGCGAGAAGGGACTGCATGTGTTCCATGGATGGCATCGTGTGTAACACTATCGCCCCTGCTGAACAGTAGGACAATGGTGACTTCAAAGCAGAAAGAGAAATGGAAGCTCTTTGAAAGGTTTCAATGCTGCACGAGTACCGAGCATTTGCTACAACTTGCCGGTGATAGCATTTCAGTAGCAAAACTTCCAAGGGCCAGAGATAAAATTTATCTTCCAACGGGATGCTTGCCTGGACTTTGTAGTGTCCAAGGACTGTACTGTCTGTGAGTCAGGAAGACAAATAATTATGTTGATAGCTTATCGCATTTCCAGTTCCGAAGTTAGACAGCCTCTGGCCACTTTGAAAAGGCTTTTGTTTGTTTGCTCTGTCTTGTTTTGGTTTTGGGTCCGTGAAATACTCATGTGGCTTAAAATTCAAAGAGTAAATCAAATGATCCTATAAAAAACTTTCTCCTTCTGCCAGTTTCTGTCTTCCAGCCACTCCTCAGGGCCAACTAACATTAACCACTGTCTTGTTTTATGCACACCTTAGTCTTTATGCATCTTTCTCCATGGGATAGTCTAGGACGCAAGGGTGTCCTGACTCTCTGGCTAGGGGACGTCCAGCAGGCTGACCTCTGCTACACAGGACCGAGCGGAGGCCAATCCCAAGGGGCTTAGGAACACATTTTCCTCGAAGCCGCAGGCACCCCCAGGGCCTAATTTTACTGCTCTGCACCCCCTCACCAGGCAGTTAAACGTCTTGCCAAAGATTTGCAAAGGACGAGAGATAACATCCCGTGTGGGTGAGTAGGGCTATCTCCTCAGACCAACTTTCCTGACAAGGTCACACAATTGCATCTTTGTTCCTGTCCCGGACGCTGAAGTTACTGATGCCATGGCCGGTATTATCGCCGTCATCCGGGGCCTTTAGCTTACAGTGGGGAGTAACTCATGTTTACTCACATGCAGGCCTGTCCACGTGCTCTTTGCACGTGTTATTTTTCCAGTGGAAATGCTAAGTCTCTCAAAGGCAGGGTCCTAACACCTAACACCACTTTCTTCCTTCTGTGTGTCTCTCGCGTAGGTCTGAGCAGCTCCTGTGGGGACATGCTGTCAGCAGGAGATATTGGTCTCATCTTCAAGTTACACATTTTTCTAGGGAGACAAGAATTCCATGTATGAAACAGGGACAGTACTTAATAAAGTGCCAAATTGTGATGGTTTTGAGGGGGATATGGTTGAAACAGGACTGACCACTGCTGTTCTCTCTAGAGATGAAATTTTACCCATTTCTAAATTTTCTAATTTTACCTTGATTCTTCAGGCTTCAGTGTATAGGTTTATTAATCAAAACAAGTTCTGTACTTCCTGTTCTTCTAGGAAATCTTCTATATTCCGTTGGGAAATGCCCCCCTCACCCCTTAGACTTCCTCCAACCTGAGTAACTACACCCATGGAACATGCCAAATAAGGCTTTCCTAGGAGGAGACAAGTTCTGCCTAATCTATTACACCTCTGCTATGTGGAGTTACATGGTTCTTACATACTCAGGAAGGCGGGCTGCTCAGTTGTGTGCCAGGAGCCAATGAGCCCCTGGCAGGCCTCACAATGAGCTTTGACAGTCAGGGACCAGGCAACAGATGGGTGACCCCAAGCAGAGCACATGGCAGTAAAGACCTGCAGGATTTCCCCAAGTTAAACTGAGGACTGGAGGTGACAAAGGTTTTGCATTATATATTTGACTTTTTTTTTTTAAGCTACATCATGGATTTTTCTAAATACAGCATTTCTCTTCCTTCCTGGCAATGAAGGAATCCTGCTGATTGAGTGGGTTTCAAGTTCCCTGTTGGGGTGAAGGAAGATGGAAGTGTAGGAGTAAGTCAGACTCATGTCTTGGATTTTTATTATAAGGAGAGGCATGTATTTTTAAAACAGCAAAATCAGGCTGTCTTGAAACAAACACACAGACAAATGCTACCTATGATCTATGTTAAAAAATTGATCTGAACTGTACATGACTTTGAACAAGGAATAACATCATGAGTAGGAGTTTATAGTGAAGAAATTGTCCTGGCCCACTCACATGAGGTTTTTGAATGAAGCTTAGGAGCATGCAGTGGGTAAAATAACAACTGACAAGTCCAAACTATTACCTCCAAGGACCCAGTAGGAAAAGACTGCACCAAGGGGTGGCAGAGTCGCCCACATGACCCCACAGCACAGAGAGAAGCCAAGTGTGGGGTGCGTAGGATGGTTTCTTATAAACAGTTACCAGTAGAAAAAAGTCGGGCAGCATCCACGTAGCTCTCTTTGCAAGTTTAGATGGAAATGGTGAGATTGGGTCAGTCATGTGGAGAAGTTGGTCAAGAGACGGGCTTCCCAATTTAGGACCTTCGTCCTCAGTGTCATCATCGTCCAGGAAATGGTTGCAGGACTAGAGAGAAAAGGAAATTCGCCATCTGGCCAGCTGTTCGGCAAAGCTGCTGACGAGAAGGAACTAGTGTGCCAAGGCTGCACTGGGTCCAGGTTTGCACCTCAGATTCTGGGAAAGGAGTCCGTACGTGCCCAAAGCAAATAGACTAACAGGCATTCGTATAGAGAAATGAGAGTTCCAAGGGAACTAAAGTTCTTGAACTGTAACTGAACTGAAACCAAGAATCATAACCTACCAGGAATATAGGGCAATCAAGCTAGTTTTTCTGGTTTTTTGGTTTGTGTGTGTGTGTGTGTGTGTGTGTGTGTGTGTGTGAGAGAGAGAGAGAGAGAGGGAGGGAGAGAAATGAAGTCAATGTAAGCATCAGGCCATTTGTTAGAGATTTCTGAAGCCCATTCTTCAAATAGAGTCAGCACAGAGGTTGGTTCTCACACATTGGCTCAGGGTTCACTTAGCCCGAGGATCCCACAAGGCCACTGCCTCCTGAGGAATGGAAGGGCCTTTTCTCCATGAGCCCTCCTGAGGCTGGGCATGGAATCTGTGCTCATAAATATAATCCTTGGAAGCCTAGAGTTTTCCTTTGTCTCTCTGACACTGCTGATACATGGACCAGGACAGACCTGGAGAGATACGTCCTCAAACCAAAGTAACCAAACTGAAAAACACAGCACTGGGGTTGAATTTGACTGAACAAAGATTAGATGAACATCTGATATATGTGGGGATGACGTGAGGAGGGCAAGACAAGTCACAGTTCCTGTCCTCAAGAGTTACAACCAACCAGGTACCTTTTTCCAGTTATAGAATCATAGCATCTTCTGTCACCTACCAGAGATAACCAACAGAGATAAGGACAGAAGGGTGACCTCTATTTATCTCCTTTATTCTTCGTAGGCTGAACCCCTGAGGGACCTCCAGGAGCCATCTCCAAGCCCCCTGGCCTGAAGGAAGAGCTGAAATAATTTTCACAGAAAACTCATGTATTAGAAACAAGAAAATGTTGTCTATTATAACACAATAGACGAAAATAACAAAATAAAATGAATGACACTCAAAATGTTCCACTTTAATCAATAAATCTTTACATTAAGCCACTCATCTTTAGGGAAAGTGCGTAAGATGATGGTGGCAGGAGAGGATTCTAGCCACCCTCAGGAAGGTAAAATTGACTCATCTTTTTGGTGACAGGAGGAAATTACGAGAAGTGTCAGAGGCTGTCTTGGTGAGGGTGTTTGCTCTGTAGAGTCCGGAAAGAGCTGTGCTCCGGTCGCTCACTGCCTCTTTGTCTTGCCCACGGGCTCCTTTCTGGGCGAGGGGAGAGCTGTGTCCCCCGCAGGGCCCTGCAGCACTGTGACAGCACTCCCTGGAAGACAGCTGCCCGGGGGCCCAGGATGGGCAGTCTGTGGCCAATGCTCTCTGGAGGGCAGTGCAACAGGGAAAGACAAGCGCTGCTTAGATTCTATTTTTAAAGAAACTCAAAATAACCAGAGGCCACCAAAGACTTCTTCAGCACTCTGAAACAGATTCCCTTTGATAGAACCACCTCTCCCCCCCTCCCCAACTTTAAGCTTTTGCAGCTCTTGTTAAAGAGGCCAGAAAGGAGCGCCTAGAAACCAAACTCAAGTTTGAGCAGTTACGGCCGATTAAATTAAAAAATGAAGATAAAATGTGTCCGGATTTGTAGGGTGAGTCAAAGGGAAAGAGGATTCAATTCTCAGAAGACTTCAGGGACCCATATATGGCTCTGCTCCTCAAACAAACAAACATGGTCTGACAAAAGGGCCACAGTTGGGAAAACTGCTAGCATTCCCAAAGGGAACCTTCGTTTTTTAAGATAATCTGTTTTGGGACTCCTTAAATCCTTACCATCCTGACCTCTCTGTTGAAGATTATTTTCGCTACAAAAAGTTGTTAATACTCAACTTTTCCAAAAGACATGTGGCTTAAAGGAGAGAAAATCAGTGCATGAAAGAACATCTTCTCATTGGAAGTCACCGAGGGACGGAGGGAACTGGAGACCCGAATTCTCTGGAGGAAGCCTCTTGCTCCAGCTGATGGGAGCTAAGAGATGTCACAAGATGACAAGCCTGGGATCCACGATCGCTGTGATGACGAGGAGACAGAGGTCCAGGGGCACGGGCACTGATGGACAGAGGACCAGAGCCCGGAGCTCTCTGTACCATACCACAGGCTGCGCCAGGTGGTGGGCATCCATCTCTACCCATGTTCACTGACAAGAGTTCTGGACTCAAGGCCAGAGTCAAGGCAAATGAACCCAGAATGAATCCCTCCCCATCACTTACAGAGATAGGCTCTTCCCATTTACTTAGTTTTCACCAATAATTATCGATAACACACAAAGTTTAGCTGAATCCAGAAAAAACAACTCTAGAAATCATTGTTGCTATCAACAAAATGAGTGAGACAACCACTGGCATTAATGATTGTGGGCTGAGTCAGCCACCTGGTCTTTGAAGCATGTTGACAGGCAACGCAGTACAGGTGGGTGGCCCCTGCAGCCATGAGCAGCATGTGCTGTGGCAGGGACACGTCTAAGCCACATAAATCACAGGGCTAAGGAAATGTCAGCAGTTTTTCTGGGCAGATCAAAGGTGAAGGCTGCTTTTACTAAGGTTCTGGCTCTCTTGGGAGTGGGGGTGGCCGGGCCATGTAGGTGGCACAATGCTTCTCTGGTTTTACAGGTGGGAACGTGGAAGCCCTGACGGTTTAAACAATTAGGCCAAGCTTGTACAGGCAGACTAGGATCTGAAGCCAGGTCGCTTTGTTCCTAGGCTATTGATTTTTCCATAACCTCAGAGAGCACACAGAACAACAAAGCTCAGCTCAGAAACGTCATGACCAGAATCAGCAGTGGCTCTACCAAGCTTCAGTTCCTGGTCAGCTCCATACCCACTGTCTCTTTGCCCTTGGATGGACTCTATGGGCAAGAACCAGGTCTGCCCAAGAAAGAACATAATGTACTGATCTCATGTATATCAAGTCTAGCCCTTGTGTTGGTCACTGGAATACACTCCCAGGGCTGTTAAGTTAATAAAAGGCATCTTATCACATTGTCTTACAGAATCAGAAGGTAAACATTCTTGCTGAGGGAAAGGCAAGCACGTGTCTATGTGTGTGTGTCTGTGTGTGTGTGTTTCATTCCTTTGTGAGGCAGGCCTGAAAAAAATCCACGTTTAAGGGAAACTCAGAAGGAGTGAGTGGCTGCTACAGAGACCCCTGAAACCAACTGCACATGCCTGTCACCCAATGTTGTCTTGGCTTCAAGAGAATCAGGTGGCTGCTGACCAGAGGACAGTGGGAGTTGTCACTGAGAGGAGGCTCTTAGCTCTTGGCTCTTCCATCCACTTGGCTGAGAGCCATGAGCCAGGCCAAAACTTTTGGATTCATAAGAAGGGATTCACTGGGACTAGCAGTCTTTCACTCCACTAGAGTGGGTATTTCCAAACCTCAGCTGTTACCAGAGTCTCTGGTCCTCCCTTCTGGGACCTATTAAAGACACCTCTTCTGTGCTCAAATTTCCTTCCTGATGCCTGCTCAGGTCAGTTCTGGCTCTAGCTCCTCGGCCACCACCCTAGATAGAGCATACACTTCCCCATCTGTATGAAGTGAAGGAAGTGACCTTGATTTTCCTGCATGTTTCAAATGAAACAAAAACTGAAGGTGACTTCAGTCAATATGGGAGCAAATGAGAAGATGGACAAAGTCTCTAAAATGACAACCTACAGGCCACTGACCCCTTGGATTCTATCACCTGGAGGAATGACCCACTCCCACCTTCACCAGCTCAGTGTTGCTTCTCTAACAGATGAGATTTAGGTCAATGCTGAAGCTGGAGATGGCTCCACTATCCCGTTTTCCATCAATAGCAAGTGAACGTAAGACTAGCACTGGGCAGCTTCCAGAAGAAGCCAGATGTGTTAGGAAGCCAGTGGGGTGGAAGGCTCAGGGCCTTGGTGAGGCCATTCCAGATGGGGATGCAGTCCCCTTCTCACCTCGATTGGTACTACCAGGACTGCCTGAGAAGGGAATTATTTACTTTGTGCCCAATGTCTATGAAAATTCTTCGGTAAGTGGATTATGGGGCCCTTCAGAAAGAGTGGTGTAGAATCACGTGGTATGGAGAGGACCTAGGAAGGAACATGACATGGATAAAGCCTGAAGAGGGGACAGGCAGAGCTGGAGTAAAGAGGGCTGTGGACCAATCAAAACAGGCAATAAGCAGTATGTGAAAAAGAAAAGGTCAGAGACCCAAGCAGCCAAATCAATCCTGAGAAAGAAGAACCAAGCTGGAGGTATCACGCTGCCTGACTTCAAATTACACTGCAAGATACAATCATCAAAACAGTATGGTACTGGCAGAAAAATACACACACCAGAACAATGGAACAGAATTGAGATCTCAGAAATAAACGCACATGTATCTGGCCAACTACTTTTCAACAAAGGAGCCCAAAACATGCAATGGAGAGAGAAAAGCCTCCTTAATAAATGGTGTCAGGAAAATTGGAAAGCCACATGCAAAAGAATGAAATTAGATCATTTTCAGATACCATACATAAAAAGTTAACTCAAAATGAATTAGAGACTTAACTATAAGACCTGAAAACAAAAAAACACATAGAAGAAAATATAGGTACTAAAGTTATAGAGCTTGGTCTCAGAAAGGTTATTGTGAACTTAACTCAAAGGCAAGGGGAGTAAAAGAAAAAAAAATGAATGGGACTACATCAAACTAACAAGTTTCAGCACAGCAAAAGATACCGTCAATAAAACGAAAAGGCAGCCAACCAAGGGGGGAAGACATTTGCAAATGTTACCTCCAATAAGGGGCTAATCTTCAAAATGTATAAAGGACTCACACAACTCAAAGACAAAACAAACAAACAATCCAACTTTAAAAATGGGCAGAGGACCTGAATAGACACTCTTCCCAAGAAAACATGCAAATGGCCAACAGATACATGAAGAGATGCTCAACCTCACTAGCTATTAGGGAAATGCAGGTCAAAACCACAATGAGATACCACCTCACATCTGTCAGAATAACTGGTATCAATATGATAAGAAACAATAAGTATTGGAGAGGGTGTGGAGAAAGGGGAACCCTCATACACTGCCGGTGGGAATGCAGCCGATGCGGCCACTATAAAAAACAGTTTGGAGGTTCCTCAAAAATGTAATAACAGAGCTACTACATGACCCAGCAGTTCTTCTGCTACCTACCTGGAAACTTGCGAATGTTTATTTGTAAAGATATATGTAACTCTCTGCACACTGCAGCATTATTCATAACGGCCAAGACATGGAAACCACTGAAGTGTCCTTTGATGGACAATTAGATAAAGAAGATGTGGTACATGCATGCCATGGAGTACTACTCAGTCATAAAAAATGATGAAATATTGCCAATTGTGACAACATGGGTAGATCTTGAGAGTATTATGCTAAGTAAAATAAGTCAGATGGGAAAGGATAAGAACCATATTATTTCACTCGTATGTGGGACATAAAACAGAAATCAACAAATGAACACACAAACTCAGACCCAGACAACAGCATGGTGGTTACCAGAGGGGAAGAAGGGTGGTGACAGAGGGAGACTAGACTTTGGGTGGTGTGCACACAATGTAATATACAAATGATTATTACAGAATTGCACACCTAACACACATTGCTATTAAACAATGTTATCCCAATAAATTTAATTTTTTTAAAAAAAGGATGGGAATTTGTTCAGAAAATTTAGAAATTATCTTAGGAATTAAACTTTTCATTCTACTACTCTGGGGACAGTATGCTTCATACCACACATACTCCCAAGGATAGCAAACCTGTTGAGATGTCATCAGGGGAACACCTGGATGCAGTCTGAGCTTTCAGTGGCTGGAGACTCTTCATTCTGATTGGGGAAAGCAAGTAGACACATGAGTTATTTGACTGGGGCTTGCTGGAAAGCAATGTGCCTTTACACTTTTTAAAACAGCTACGGTCCCTTGAATCCAGCGCTTGTCAGCCTGGTACTGAGACCACCTTGCACAGAGACTACGGGGCCAAACTTGCAAAAAAATAAAGTACTTTTATAAAGTATAAACTTGTAAGATAAATAAACTGGGGCCACAAATTGCAAAAGTCTCCTTCATAGAGGAGTGAACATTTGCTCAGAAACCTCTGACTTTAGATAGTTGAGTTTTCCATTTGCAGTCCGTAAAGAACATTTATTAGAATCAGTTTCATTGTGATTTGACATAACAGCTCTTTAAAAGTATGGGGTCAGTGTAGGTAAGTGTTATGGGTTCTGGAGCCTGTAATGCTCAAACACCCATTTCCTCCATGAGCCTGTCTACCTGGCTCGGGCACCGTGGTTTCAATGTACCCGAATCTACATCTCAGTGTGGGCCAAATGGCCCTGAGGTCGCCCACTGCTGTCCAATGTCAGGTTACATAAAGGCCTGTTGGTATCTCACATTATTGCTCTCTGTATGAGAAAAGAGATGTAAAGATTGATATTAGATCATATATAACCTTTTCGATTGCTCATATATAAGGGTAACTATATGAGCAATATGCCCAACCATATACAGCAAGGCAGGTCTACCTATCTTGGTGACTGATCCAGGGTGAGTTCAAGTTTTGAGTTTTTTAATAAAGTAAAAACTGAGTCCTTCTTCCCTGTCTGATAATTAAATACAAAAAAACACCACACCACACACAACAACAACCTGAAATCCAACTAATCAAAATTTTGACTATATTTTATTTCTGATATACTTGCTCTTGATAAGAAAGCAGTAAATGACAACCAATGAAACTGATAAATAACAGAAATTTTAGTTACTAAAAAGTGGCAGAGGATGCTCTGGACTCATAACAGATTCTGTGTGACCTTCTGAATTAGATATGTCATCTACATGGAGAATTTGTATTCACTTCTGCCGGAGTCATCCAAGAAATTTCCTACCCTATTCCATGTACTGTTCTTGCGAAGGTGGAAAGAAAGGGGGATTAAAATGTCTACAGTCATTTCAAGATGAAAACAACTTTTGGGTTCCAACTATCTGGTTTAACCAAAAAATGAAACCAATCAAGAAGCCCACTCCATGGCCCTGGCTGGGTAGCTCAGTTGGTTAGAGCATTGTCCCAATATGACAAGGTTGCCGGTTTGATCCCCAGTGAGGGCACATATAAGAATCAACCAATGAATGCATAAATAAGTGGAACAACAAATCTCTTTTCTTCTCTCTCCAAAATCAATAAAAATTAAAAAACAAAAGCAGCCCATTCCCTGAGCATCCCCTAAACATTCTACTTACTGTTTCTCAATTCACTACCCTTGTGTCCCCAAACTAATATAACCAGAATTAAAGTCATGTTCTGATTTAAACCTTTGACTTACCTACGACTCATAACATCCTTCAAGGAATGCTTCAGATCATCTGGGATCATCATAGTTGTTGGTTGTGCCTGAGGAAGACAGTCTCATTTAGAACACTATCCAACACTGCATTCCAATTTTCATAAACAGTGTATGTACCTTAGCAAGCTCAAATTGTATTCAGCATTAGAGCCACTCACGTATCCTTCTGTGATATGAATGAACCAGGAAGAATTGTCCTGACCATAAGTCATAGGGTCGTTGCTCTTCCCCGGTTATCAGATTTTGAAGTTAGATCCCTCAAGATTAGTAAATCTTCCAATTCTCTTTGGCTAGCTCACCACAACATTCTTCAGATTTCAGGTGAGCTATCACTTTCTCACAGACACTATTGCCTCCTGGCCTGCTGCCTAACGACCTCATTGCTCCCTAGGCTTCCTCATAACCATTGCACTTGCTTAACATCTGGCTTCCCTCATAGACTTTCAGCTTCACGAGGGCATAAATAACATCTCTATGTTCGTATTTCCAGGTCCTAACATAGTGCCTGTTTAAGAAATATTTGTTGATCAGGCCCTGGCCTGGTAGCTCAGTTTGTTAAGAGCCTTGACTGGATATGCCGAGGTTGTGGGTTCGATCCCTGGTCTGGGAACATACAATAATCAACCAATGAATGCATAAATAAGTGAAACAACAAATCGATGTTTCTCTCTCTCCCTCCTCTCCCCTCTGCCTCCTCCCTCTCTCTCTCTCTCAAATCAATTTTTAAAAAAGAAGTATTTGCTGACCAAATTAGTGGCTGAATGAACACACTTCGAAGCACACTTGAAGGTGTGAAGTGTGCCCTTCGTAAAGCTGTCCCTGGTGACTCACAACCATAACTCTCAATAGGCGTTTCTTCCACACTAAATAATGGAGCTGCTGCCCAAGGGTCACACGGTAGCAGGAGTCATTATCCAAGCCAGGCCCCACATAAGATTTTTATTTTATTGATATTCATCCATTTTATGCTTTTACTTTAAAAAATGTTTTTCTATTGCTAATCATTTAAAAAAATTGAGACATAGTTCACAAAACCATAAAATCCACCATCTTGGTGCCCGTGGTTTTTAGTATATTAACAAAGGTGCACAGCAATCACCACTACTCCCGGAACGTTTTCATGACTCCAGAAAAGACATCCTTTACTCAGGAGTCATTCCTCCTCCCCCACGAGACTCTATGGATTTGCCTATTCTGGTCGTTTCATATATTTGGAATAATACAATATGTGGTCTTTACTGTCTGTTTTCTTTCAACATCCTATAGCTTTGTAGTGAGGTTTGAAATCAAAAAGTGTGGTTCTTCCAACTTTGTTCTTTTTCTAGATTGTTCCGGCTATTCTGCATCTCATGTCTTTCCATATGAACTTTAACATCTGCTTGTCAATTTCTGCAGGAAAGGCATCTGGGATGTCAAGAGCAATTGCCTTGAATCTATAGATCAATTGGGGGGCAGTATTGCCATCTGAGCGACATTAAATCTTCCAACCCATGAACATGGGATTACTTCTATTTTATTTAGGTCTTCTTTCATTTCTTTCTATAATAGTTTATAGTGTTTGATATACAAGTCTTACATTTCTTTTTAAAAATTTTATTCCTAAGTATTTTAATTTTTGAGGCTATTGCAAATGGAACTGTTTTCTCAATTGTTCTGGATTGTTCATTGCTAGCATACAGAAATAAAATTCATTTTGTACATTGATCTTATACCCTGTAATTCTGCTGTACTCACTCATTTATCAGCTCTAATAGCTTTTTTGTGTGGGTGCCTTAGGAAGTTCTATATATAAGATCACGTCATCTGCAAATAGTGTCATGCCTCCGTCTGTAATGTGGGTGCCTTTCATCCCGTGCCCGTGTCTGTCATCGCCTGGCTTACCGTCCTCATTTCCCGGCATGTGGAGCACAGCCGCCCGATCCCGGCCAGCAAGGGGTCACTCTGGTTCCTCCTGGCCTGGGAAGAGGGAGGAGAGGCCGAGAGTGGTGAGGAAATGCTGTGGTATCTGGGGCAGCAAAGACATGGGAAGGGGGTGGAGGGGTGAGAGAGGTAAGAGGTATTCCTTCCATAAAACACACATGGGCATTCCTGTCTCAGCCCCACCCTGGCCCGGAGGCTTCACTGCAGCTGGTCGGTACAGGGAGGGTTTAGGCCCGAGAGGCTGAGCCACAGGCCAGGTGGTGGCCCGGGGGCCCCCGTGTAGAGGTACAGGTACGACAGGGAGGCTCCCGGCATTTCCACCCGCAGCCCGAGGCCACCTGAGGCTCCTGTTCTGTCTGGGGCTCTCTCCCCCCTTCATTCCCGCTGAGTCAGTCCTGAGACCTGCTCGCAGGAAGAGCGAACTCCTGGGGGAAGGTCCCGGGACAAGCAGAGCATCTCGCTGCAAGGAAGCCTCTCCTGCCACTGGACTGGCTCATTGTGACACCTGGGCCCTGACCTGTCCCTGCTGCCCTGCGAGGTGAGGTATGCACAACAGGAGGGCGAGGGACATATTCAAGCCGCGTGGGGAGAGCCTGGGGTGCTCCTGACGTGACCTCTGCATGGAGCTTCGTCCCCTGAGTGACATAGGCCTTACTGGGGGGTTTTAGGACTAGAAACTATGGACAAAGTTGGATCCTTTAGACCAATATTTAAAACACACTTCATTTTCACAGGCCACTTTAAAAGAGCCGACGCAGCCTCTCTGTGCTGTGGGTCGGCGCGGTACAGTAAGAGTGTGGATGACTCATTCATTCAGCGAAACGTTTACTGTGAGGCTCCATGTGGGGTGCTGTGCCAGGGTCACAGGCATGAATAAGAAAGTTTCTGGCCCCAGCGAGGACCAGGGAGGAATACAAATTCATTCACTGGTCCATTCATTAGGGCCCGGGGACACTGAGGTGTGTAAGACACAGCTTCTAAGCTGTCACCACCCAGCAGACTGTGTGAAACGGTGTGGAAGGCGCTACGTTGAGGCCTCCTGGGTCCAGGGTGGGCCATAGAGAGGGTCTCAGAGGGTGAAAAGAGCAGGCAGTGCCCGGGTGGGCGTTGGTGGGCTAAGCAGGAGGGGGAGGGCGTCCCAACCCTAGAAAACACCGAGCACCAGGGCACCCGGGAGGTCGGATTGTCTGGTGGGAGGAGGGGGCAGTGAGAAGAGAGGCTGGAGAGGAAGTGCCCTGTGCTGACTCCTCTGCTTCTGGGCCAATTCAACCCTCTCCCGTCTCTCTCCTGAGGCCCCAGGTGCGGTATCTCCTGGGCTGAGCTCCTCCATCCACCCCTCGCACCTCTGAGTTCTGAGACTAAGACACTCCCCGGAACCTGCGATCCAAGCTTGGACGTACCAGGTGTCCTAAAAGGAGCAATGAAACTTCTGGGCCTCCAAAAAGGGGAGAGACCGCGTCCCACCGGAGGCATCAGGAAGGGGCTAGACCGTCTACAAAGAAGTTGATGCGAACAGTTTGGGGTCCCACGTTCCGTTGGCCTCAGCTTCCTCCCTCCTGCCTGGCTTTCTTTCCTAGCCCTGGACCCAAGGCCACTTCCTTCTGCTGCGTCCCCTTCACTCTCGGCTTCCCCAAGGCCAGCTCAGCACCAGTGTCGGGGATGGAGAGTGAGCCAGCCAGGGGTTCAGGGCTCGGGGCCTGGGTTTCATTACCTAGCGTCCCAACCACCGAGGAAAGGGACTCTGGAGTGTTAGCAGGGTTCTCATTTCCCAAGCAGCTGTCCCCAGGAGAGCAGAGAGCAGCTGCGCCGAGGGAGTGATAGCAGCCTTTTGTTGCCTGGCCAAGGTCTGATGCAGGTGTCAGCTGGTTCCCGGAAGCCAAAGCCTGCTCTTCACACTTCACAGCTGGGAACATCCTAATATCTGAGGTCAACATCTGCTGAGGTTCCCAAGATCTGGCTCGTGGCCCAAATCCTTGGCCCCCTTCAATCTTTGGTTAAGAGACAGAGAAATCTCTCTCTCTCTCTCTCTCCCTCTCTCTCTCTCTCCCCCTCTCTCTCTCTCACACACACACACACACACACACACACGCCTGTCCACATAACAAAAACTGAAAATGTAAGCACCAGATGGTGACTTTAAAAATAGCATGACAAATACTATTTTTGAGGAGCACTGACAAATTAGCCTCTGTACCCCCTTCCCTTCAGCACCTCCATTCCTTTTTCTCCTTTCCACTCCTGCCATAGCTGAAAGAGGTCACCTGGCTCAACTCCCAATGAAAACAAGGAGGAAAGTGTGGCCCAGAAAGGTTGGAGGTCTGTCCAATGGCACATCTATTTAGTTCGTCTGCCAGAAAGTTCTCTGGGTGAAGGGTCAAGGGAAAAGCGGACTCTTAGGGTCCATATAAGGGGGCAATGATGCCTATATCCCTTAGAATCCCAAAACAGGTGTTCAGGGAACTATTTTAAATATTCCAAAAACACTATTTTCAAAACACCAAAAAAAAAAAAAAAAAAAAAAAATCCCACAAAAACCAACCCTATGATAATTAAATTAAACATTTTCCGGATCTCTGAAAATACCAGCCACCTCCATTAAACCATAAAGCCAAATGTAGTTTTTAAAATTCTCTTCCTGTTCACTAGGAAAAACTTCAGACACACAAAGCAAGTGACAGCCATGCACCTGCCGTCCTGACTTATTAAACTTGGTTGTTATTCCCACTGTCACTTGAGTCCAGTGGTGTTCGTTGTCATCCCCCTTTGAGATTGTCTTTGCAGTTATCTAGGTTGGATCTATGTAAATAGAAAAACTTAGGTTTGTACAAGGTAGTTCCCGTGGCGGTCACGAGCTTTCACAATTTCAGTGTCAATGAGAGAAATCGCAGAAAGAGTTCTCGGTGGTGAGAACATTGAAAGTCGCCCGTCTGTGTGTTTTCTCAGCTATGTTCCTGCACCATGTCGCTAGCCAGGGCTTTTGGTCACAGGTCTGCTAAAAGCAAAATAAATTATGCTCTCACCTTTACTCTGACTGGAGACGGGGGTGGCGGCAGGAATGCAGAGCGGGTGGCCTTTCACCCTCGTGAGTTACACCCAAGCCCAGCAGCTAGGAAGGGGGTGCGGGGTCTTGGCGGCGGCCCCACAACATCTGCTCTGCCTGCCGGAGCTCTGGGTGAGTTGCCTCCTGGCCTCAGTCATGCAGCTATTCGATTACACTTTCCCATTCTCGGCACCGAGTCCATGCCTCGGGTGGCAGGAGAAAGTCATGACTAACAGTTTGCATGGGGGATGTTCAGGCTCCGTTCCATTGTCTTCATTTCCTATCTTTCTTCTTTGTGAGCTCTGCCTCTCCCCTTCCATCCCCTTTTTTGTATTTTTGTCCCTTCATGTCTCTGTGTGTCTCGACTCTGCTCCCCATCTTTCTGTCTCTGAGCCTGTCTCCCCCCCCCCCATTAGGGAATACTTTGCTCCAGACACACGGACACCTGCACGAGCCCCGGAACAGCTCGGGGCAGGCAGGAACGCCACCTGGCTGGGGGTGTTCAAAGTCCTGACTTTTGACCTGAGACTGTGAAAGGGAGGGAGCCAGGACAGGATCCCTGCACCGTGCCCAGGGCCAGGACGTCTGGTTGGCAGCAGGACTGCCCAAGGCTCTCGGCAGGTCCCAGATTTAGAGGGTAAAGGAAAAGATAACCTGTCCACAGAGCAATCCACTCCCGTGAGATGCATCATTTCTTTCCAGAAAGCAGCGGCTGTGGCTCTTAGCTGCACAGCAGACATGCTCGGGCCTTCATGTTTGCAGCAAAGACTGAGATCTGAGTCTGTGTGACAGGCAGGGAGCTGACCTGAGAGACCTGCCAGGTGTCCCAACAGACTAGGGGCCCCAGGTTCGCTATGAAGGGCGGCACAATATGCTTCTCCCAAATATGCCACTTGGGCATAGGTTATTTTGAGCGAAAGGAGCTTTATAAAAACAGCAGGTGCAAGAAAAATATTCTGACTCCCCCCATTTTCTTCAAAAAAGTAGAAGATAAAACCCCAAAAGGAAGAGGCCCTCCTTACACCAGGAGGAAAGCAACATTCTTATCACCAGGGACCAGAAGCTGAAGCTGAGAGATTTCTCCGCAAACAGACCCTGTTCAAACACCACTTCTCCCCCTTAGCCTCCCGTGCAGCTGAGTTACTTTCCCACCATTGCCTCTCTTGTATAAAAACGTTTAGGTTTTGCCACCTCTTTGGGTCTTTGTTTCTTTAGGAGGCCACCCGTGTCACATAAAACTTTTAGAAAATAGATGTGTGTGCTTTTCTCCTGCTAATTCGTCTTCAGTCGATTTAATCCTCAGGCCCAGATGAAAACTCTAAGATGGCAAAAGTCACACCCACACCCACACCCACACCCACACCCACACACACCCATGAGGTACCTGAGCTCTCCTATCCCAGCAGCAGTAATGGACTTGTGACCTGAGCCACCCAGGGACTGGACCTTAGGACTCTGCCCATTGGCGCAGCCTGGGAGGCTGTTGCTCTGGTCTCTCTAGTGGCCGCCCATGAGCATTGCAGCCACTAAGGTCGGAGCCCAGGTGAAGGTGGGTGGGCCTCTCCCTTGTCCTGGGCCTTAGCAACGCCTTCCTCCCTCACTCCTGGTGCCTGGAGTCTTAATGCCTCGGAAGGCGCTGAGACCCAGAGCAAACCTGGGAGCACTTATCCACTGACACGAGGGCTGGTCATAACGTGGCCACAGTTACAGAGCTCTCCCCGAGAGCCTCCTGCCTGGCCCACAATCGCCCTGCACCTGCCAGGTAACTTTTCAGGTGAAGAAACTGCTCCTGCCCCGACTTCTCTCTCTTCCTCCACCTCGGGGAGGTGCTGACTTCACAAGCACCATGAGTACGGGGACCCTCTCTGAAGCTAGTGTCACCACATGTCACCCAGCAGCCAGGCATGGTTGACTTCTAGACAGTGGAGGGGAGGGGAGGGGAGGGGTTTTAAATGTGAAACCTGTGTGTGCAGGGGACACAGGGATTCATGGTGGTGGTGGGAGGGGGTTAGAGACCCAGAAACTAGGCTTGGCTCTGGACACAGGCTGAGAAGCAGTCCCTGAAGGTCTCAGGGCAGATGCCTCAATATGAATTTTTTGGTTTCTCTTTTCCATGGTTCTCACCTCAGGCTTTTATTCTTAGCTCCAGTGGACCTGGGAGCCCCGGAGACAGGGTGAGTGGGTGGGGCCCATTCATTTCATTCAGCAAATGTCTACTGAACACCTGCGATATTCCAGGCTCCGGCTGTGCTAAGGAGACAGGAAGTACCTTTGGAGTCACATTAATGGCATCCTAGAACTGCTATTGGTTTCTCTGCAATTAAAGAAAAAATCGAGTACCTTAGATAAGCCATCTCGACCTTGCAACAAATTTGTCCAACTCATATCCATCCTGGATGAAGTCATAAAAGTAGCAGAGGCATGAGGATATCTGAGTGATCAAAACACGAGCCAGTTAGCACCACAGGCTCTGTGGGAAGGGCCAGGCCCCTGGCTATTCCAGAGAGAAGCCAAGGGACACCCCGGGGTGGCCCCCAATGTTAGGGGCTCGGGCCATTTGGAGCTCCCAAAGATGGCTTTGCCTTCACTCTGCCTTCAGACCCTTCGGTTTTGAACTAACCAATACCAGCTGTGGATTTTCAGGGAGAGTGTACAAATGAAGGCAGGAAAAGTTGTTCATAAAGCAGATGTATGAGGGGTGAGATACACCAACTCTCCTCCTGCAAAGGCCGCGTATTTGACGTTTAACAAATGCTGTCCTTTTGGGCCTGGTCTGTGTTCTTGGAGCCGTGGCCCTGCACAGGAAGCAATCCTCCCACCTTTTCTCTCCCTCCAACCACTTTTCCCCTGGAACTTCCTTTCCAGTTGCGGATGAGGTAGTGATGCTTTTCACAGGGTGACCTACCCGCTGGCCGGTGTGGTTCATTTTATTATAGTATAAAGTTCTGAGTGTGCTTTAAGTATTAGCTAGCCTCGGAGAAGCAGTTGTGACATAGAACAGAAAGGGTTTTGTCAAAAACAAATAGCTTGGAACCCAGAGCTTTGGCCAGATGAGGAGTTTTTAATCCTCGGGAATTGTTGATACTAAAAGAACCAGCCTTTCAGAAGACTTTGCATTCCCACTTGTCCGCCTGAAAGCTCAGGGCACCTAACAGGTGATGCCCAGTCTGTCTTAGACCTCCTGTGAGGTGGGTATCGTTTCTCTCAAAGGTTCCGAATGCTGCCCAAACCCTCCCCGCGCAGACACCTGGGGAGCTTCTCTGACCACCGCAGGTCATTCTCCTTGCAACTAGCTCGAGCTTGGCTGGCTGCAGGAAAAGCCACCCGTTCCCTTCCCAGCTGAGTGTCCCCTCTGATACTCCAGGACCTGGCTGTGAAAGTGAGCAGGTTCTGAGGGCACCCAATTGTGTTCAGGGCCACCTTGTTCAAGCCCCTGCCCTGCGCCCCCTCCCACTTCCCACCAAAGACTGTATAACCAGGGAACAAGGGAGCTGGGGTGAAAGAGCCAGGACAGGGACGCCTTGTTCTGGGCTGTGGGGCAGGCCCAATGGGCATGGGGGAGGGATGGGAGAGTGGATGTTACCCTACTTAGATGTCAAACACTAGCCATTTTACATAAAACCCCAGATTTTTGGTATTGTTAGAAAAACCAGCAGATCTGGCCACTGGAGTCACATACTGGTAGGCAGCGTTGACTAGGGCAGAGAGCAGGCTGTCCCCTTTTGTCAGGGAGGTGATGTCCCCTTCACTATAGTCCCCTTTTGGCCAGCTCTTCTCACTTATGCCATTGTCAGGTGAATTTGTGCCCTGGCCCCAATTCAAAGATGCTAAACTATCATTACTCAGGCTGCTCCTTGAGGTGCTAACAGCTCTTCATAAGAACCCACATCACCTGTGTTATTTCACAAACAAGTCTTTGAATCTCTGATTGCCTGCTTTACACTAAAGCGTCAGCTAGAGCTTATATATTTACAAATGCTACAGACATACTCAAAGTTATGTAAAAATAACAGAACTGAACAACAAGCTTCATAGGTGCTCTGAAAATACAACGCTGCTTACTGAGAATGGGGCTTTTAAAAGGTGCAGCAATAAAGCAAAGGTAGATTCACAGAATAGAGAAGTAGAGAGAATGACCCTCACTGGGAGTCACTTATCTATGGGCAGGAGGGTACACGACAGTTGCCAACAGGAGAAAAATCTGTTTTGAGAGTCAGGCCTCGCTAGCAAACGGTGCGCAGGCCAGGGGCCCTCCTTTCATCTACTGCGTGCCCGGGGGCTCGCCTCCTGGCCCGCCCCTCCTAGAGCTGGGGATCCNGCGTGCCCGGGGGCTCGCCTCCTGGCCCGCCCCTCCCAGAGCCGGGGATCCCACCACACCCAGGGAGCAAAAAGGGGAGGAATGAGGACACCCAGTTATTTCAGGCGGCAGCACTGGGAGGCTCCCTACACATGAAAACCACTGATTCTGAAAGATAGAAACTTGTTCCATCCACAGAGGCTGGTTTTGAAGGGGCAGGACTGGTGAGATTGGAGATTGTCTCAGACTTACATACAGGCTGTGGCTACTCTATGGAGACAGGAATTTATGGATCCAGACTTTGGATGGTTAAAATGTGGTCATTTCAAACTAAAGCAGAGGAGAAAAGGAAGGCTGATGGGGAGGAGGAAAGTGTTCTGAGAGGCAGAGTCCAGGGGCAAAATCCTCCTGATTGCTGAGTGGGGGTGGCAGAAAGGGAGGTTTCTTGAGATCTACTGCACCCCCCTGGCCGAGCCCAAGCTCGGTGCTCACTTCTGTCTGAGACTCCCAGGCCACGGCTGCTTTTTGAGCGCTTGACGTGGGTTTCTCAACCGACCAGACGCGTCCCTCTGGTAACCCTCCACCCCTCTTCCTAAGAAACCATCTTTTGTGCGGCCTTTCTTGCAACCTTTGCCCCCAGTGGCTGAGCTGTTACCTTTTGGGGAGGCTGAGCACGAGGGGCTTGTTTCTGAGGCTGGCCTCACAGAGCCAGGGAACCTTGTCAAACTTGGGAACAGAAACCTGCAGAGAAACGGAAAGAAATCACTTTGCAGAATCCGTTGTGCTCGACTATGGCCACCGCTGCGGTGACCAGAGCAAGCCGATGGCAGCTAGACCTGCCGTCAATACATCTTTGTGACTTACAGTTGACTCTTCTGAGTCTCCCATAAAGCGGCCAAGAGCAAACAGTGTCGTCCCCATTTTATTGATGAAGAACTGGAAGCTCAGCCAGTTTGCTGAGCCACACCGCTGGGGAGTGGATCCAGGTTTTCCGACTCTTGCGTCCACTGTCTTTGTGTTCTCTGTCCCTTGGCTTCGGGGTCACGTCCACCCGTTTCCTCGGATATTTCCATGCACTGAGCTGAGTATCAGAACCTACTAGTTAAAGCCTCTGGCTGTGTCTGCCACCCTCAGGCCCCGGAGGAAAAGCCAAGCAGCACTCTGTGCAGCTGTAAGCAGGGGCATTAACCTGGCTCATCCACTTCCCAGCTGTGCGGCCTCGGACCAACCACAACCTCTCTGAGCCTCAGTGTTGTCTCCTATGACGGCAGGAGGGCCATCACATCACAGGTCACACACGGGACAGAAAGCTCCCTGAGAGCAGGGACTTTTGCCTGTTTCATCCACCGCAGTGTCACCAGCACCTACGACAGAGCTTGATCCTTGCAGGAATTCATTCGGTGGCTGTGTCTAAAGAATGCACGGATCCTGGGAAGCCCCGGCCGAGGGCCTGAATTCATGCTAGGAGCTCGGTAAGAGCAGCCGTGGTTACTGCTCTTCTCCCAGCCTCCACCCGGGCCCTCTGGATGCGGGGCCCCTGCCTTTCGGTCGTGGGGCTGCTTTCCAGGGCTCCCCGGGCGAGCGAGCGGGGAGTTCCGCGGACAGCCACGAGGGGCAGCAGCGAGCGCGCAGGCGCGGGGAGGGCGCTCTGGCCGCGAGGTGGCGGCGGACCCGGAAGTGCTCGGTCCCCGCCGCGACCTCGGCGCCCCGGATGGGGAAGGAGGGGGGCGGCCGTCGCCATGGCCGCGATCCCTGTGAATCGGCGGGCAGGTGGGTTCCGAGCGGGAATCGGTGTTCCCGGGTCTCCCTCCCGGCCGGGCGGGGCGTGGCGGCGGGAGTGCGGTGCCCTGGCCGGGGTCCCTGCTGCGGGGACGGGCCCCCGGGTGGGCTCGTGCAGCCAAACCTCTGGTGGGCTCCGCGGGACGAGGGAGGTCGCGCGGGAAGAGCCCTCCTCGTACATTTGCGGGCGTTTCTGACGCACAGCTTTCCTGTTGTGACAGACGGGTCACTGTCTCCGATCCCCCTACACCTTCATCTTTCTCAGGAGGATGGTAGCTTTTTAGAGGATGGTGACCTCAGTTCAAGGATCTTTCGTTTGAGTCCTTGTCTTTGGCTAAATGAACCGCAGAGCTCACATTTGTCGGTATGATGCAGTTTACTGTTGCCTTCAGACTTTTTAAATAACAGATACTTTTGAGAACTCAGTCAAAGCTCTGGGCCTGTCCCTAGACAGTTGCATTCAGTGGCAGCAACAGGCACGCAGTGACAGGGCTTGGGGACGCTCCCAGCCCATCCACAGACCTCAGGGGTGTGAACCCCTAGCTAAGAGCTGGGTTGGAGGGAGGCACAGGCTTTGGGGTCAGGCTTTGCATCTGGCTCCACCATTTACCACCGTTAACTTGGGCGAAAGTTACTCGAGCAATTCGAATCTGAGCTTTCTACTAAAGTGGGACTAACTTGCAGGATTGTGGAGATGAAAGGAAAGAAAGCTAGGGAAGGCACTTAGCACATCCTAGGCCCTCAATGAGTGACAGCCAACAGACGTCTGTTATTATCCAAGGGAAGACCATTTAAAATCTGAAAGATTTTAATGTCCACTGTTATAAGAGGGCCACCACATGCATTTTGCTCAGACTTTTAATAAAGGGAGTTGGTTTGATTTTTAACTCAGCCCTACCCTTGACCTTCAGCAGTTTTATAGGTTCGTGGTCTATCTTTCTAGGAACTTGGCTGTGTTGTCCTGACTCAGAGGAGAAACTCGTCTCTCGCAGGCCTCGCCTGGGTTGCAGCCTTTGAAAACAAGGGAAGGTCGGCACAATATCAACTACCAGACAGCATGGGATTTCCGGAGAGGGCTTATTTCAAGACTTTATAAAGAACGAACCCTATGGATTTCTGGGAAACTGAACTGGCCTGACCCCGAGGGAAAGGATGTGTGCCCAGCCTGTAACTACCACCACTGAGACCAGGTGGCAGAAGGTCCTGTACGAGCGACAGCCTTTTCCTGATAACTATGTGGACCAGCGGTTCCTGGAAGAGCTCCGGAAGAACATCCATGCCCGGAAGTACCAGTATTGGGCTGTGGTATTTGAGTCCAGCGTGGTGATACAGCAGCTGTGCAGTGTCTGTGTTTTTGGGGTCATCTGGTGGTATATGGACCAGGGTCTTCTGGCCCCTCATTGGCTTTTTGGGACTGGCCTGGCTTTGTCACTGATTGGCTATGTTTTGTTTGATCTCCTTGATGGAGGTGAGGGACGGAGGAAGAGCGGGCGGACTCGGTGGGCTGACCTCAAGAGTGCCCTGGTCTTCATTACTTTCACGTACGGCTTTTCACCCGTGCTAAAGACCCTGACAGAGTCCGTCAGCACTGACACCATCTACGCCATGTCAGTCTTCATGCTCTTAGGCCACCTCATCTTCTTCGACTATGGTGCCAATGCTGCCATTGTTTCCAGCACCTTGTCCTTGAACATGGCCATCTTTGCTTCTGTCTGCCTGGCCTCACGCCTGCCCCGGACCCTGCATGCCTTCATCATGGTGACGTTTGCCATCCAGATTTTTGCCCTGTGGCCCATGTTACAGAAGAAACTGAAGGCGTGTACTCCCCGCAGCTATGTGGGAGTCACGCTGCTCTTTGCGTTCTCAGCCTTGGGGGGCCTGCTGTCCATCAGTGCGGTGGGAGCCACCCTCTTTGCGCTTCTGCTGGTGTCCATCTCCTGCCTCTGCCCTTTCTACCTCATTCGCCTGCAGCTTTTTAAAGAAAACATTCATGGGCCTTGGGATGAGGCTGAGATTAAAGAAGACTTGTCCAGGTTCCTCAGCTAAGTTCGGCGCCTCCATCCCATTACTTAGGCAAGTGATAGGGCAGCCTCCAGCTGGGATCCGATCGAAGGCAGAGTTCCATTCTGGAAGCAGCAGGCTGATGCGGGTGGGAGAACGGAGATCAGGAGAAGTGAACCAAGGGCTTGGGTGGTGAATGTGCTTGTCTTTTCTGTTGTTTGGTGGATGAAAAAGCTTTCTGGGGCCCTCAAGGATGGTTTCCTCCCATGTTTTACTCACTGTAACAAATGAAGTGATGCAGTTTCTATTTATTAAACACTAACAGCATATCCATCAAATTGCGTCTGGTTTTCCTGTAAGCAGAAGGCAGACAGAAGGGGCATGAAAAGTGAAGAGGTGGTAAAAATGTGCCTCTGTGTGTGTGAATATAGTCGCTTCTCTACCCTTTCATGTACTAATGCGGGCTCCATTATTTATCTAGAGCTCAGATCCTAGAACCCTGGATGCTATGTCGTTTTGTTGCCTAAAACTACAGAATTGTTCTCTTAACCTTGACTCAGAGTTCCTACTTCATTCTTAGTGAAGCATGTATGTGCCGTAATACACAGCAAAATGCTGAGGGAACCCGAAGAGGCTGGAGGTCAGACTGGAGTATTAGGAAATATTTACTAGAGGAGATGGCATCTGAGGTTAGTTTTGGAGGGTAGGTGTGATTTAAGTGGGAGAAGATGGTCTTAGGGCAAGGCGGCAGAGGCCTTTTGGAGCCAGGTCAGTAATAGCAGCAAGTGAGGCTGGTGCAGCTGACTGATAACTGGAAATGAGGGAGTGTGCTCTGTCCTGTGAGGGCAACTGCTCCTCTGCCCCAGCAGACCGTCTAGTCAGAATTTGGGCCTGATTTCAGATCTTTAGAATGCCAAATAAAATTCTAACAAATTCCAATAGCTGTTGATGTGATTTTAAATCTAAAGTCTGACTTGTGGATTCTGCCAAAAATCAGGCTCCCAAACACACTTGCATGCAAAATGTGCCTACCACTGGGGCACATCTGTTTTTAGCACAGTATGAAGCGGGGGGAGGGGTTCCAGGTTATGGGGAGGAAAAATTGGAATGGGAGGCGTGAGTAACAATTAGGGGTCTGAACATTTGGGAGCTGAGGCTTTATCCTGCAGGTAATGAGCAGTCCAGCTGACCTAAGAGGGAGTAAAAGATCAGATCATAGGCTACTGTGTTTCAGTTTTCTCATCTGGAAGGTGGGAATAAAAATGCCTCTAGAACTCTGATGATTAAATAAGATGCAAAGTGCTTTGAAGAATGCTGGACAGAGCACTTTATCCGTGTTAGCTATTATTACAGTTGTTACTAAGTTGACATGTAGGAGACCTGCCGGCAGAGATGAGATGCAAAATGCATCAGGTGTCCCCAGAATAGCTGGTTCCTCATGAAATCATTTGCTTGGGGCAAGTCCCTGTACTATCCCTTCTCTCTAGAAATTAACTTCAAATCAAATCTCATCAGGGCACTAGTATTCCTAAGAAGTAGTGTTTTTATTTCTTTGAGCATAGACCTCTCAAAAATGTCTTGAGCACTGATTTTAATTTGGACTAGTAACTAGAAAATCAAAATGAGAAGAATCAAAGGGAAAGGAGGCTGGCCTACGAAAACAGATCGAGACTAGAACCCGGCAACCCAGAGGGAAGGCTCCAGGGAGGTACACAGGCACTGCCTAGAACACTGTTACGGGTGCAAGTGAATGTGGATTAGCTTCGTAAATCGGGACACAGAGGAGCAGACCCCCTCTGAAATTTGAGCAGGGCAGGTTTAAGAAAAGTGAAAATATAATTCCACACACTAAATGCATGTAACACCAAGAAGTTTCACAGGCCAGGAATATAAATGGATTCTAAAAATGTTTGGGGAAAATACAAATAAAAAATCCATAAATGTCTTGTAAGAAAATGTTGAGATGTCCCAAGCCTTTGAGTGCTGCTACATGAAGGATGAACAGGCTCACTAAGGTGTGCTTCCCCGGGTCGCTGCTGGCGTGGGGGTGCAGGCCAGGGCAGCTATGCTGTGACCTGATGTGACAGCTGGTGGGGAAGTTTCCCATCACTTAAGCACAGTGATGCTGGCAGTCTCTTAAATTTAAACCACACTGAGAGGGTGCAGGTAGAATAAAGAGGCAGGCAAAAGTGGCTTAATAATAAATAATACAATAATTAGATAATATAAGAAATTTTGCATACAACTGTGAACCTATTTTTGCCCACCCCTGTATTAATGATTTAGATTCCCAGAGAATATCGTTTGTGTGTATGGGGGGGTGGTAGGTTGGAGGGAGAATGGAAGGGGGAGAAGGTCACAGTAGCAATGGAATTAAAACCCCAATCTGTCAAATACTTGTTTGCCCAAGAAACTGCCTGCCTTCCCCCTCTGCACCCTTCCTCCTGGCTCTGCCTCTTGTCTAAGTTATAGGTAAGGCCGGAGGTTGGTTGGTGGTGGCAGGTGAGAGCAAGGAGGGCGGAGTAGGGAGGCTTATCCCTCCAAAAGGTATCAGGGATTGTAGTTGGGATGGAGGGATCAAGGACAGGTAGAGCTACTGGGTGGCAGGTGTGCTTCACTTCAGGCATGATGTGGCTGATAGATGATTGGCAGGTACCTAGAAGGCTGTGCAAAGATCGGAGTGTGGCAACGCGCATTGATTTTGCGTGGCGACCAAACTGGTGTCAGTGCCATGCCTGTATGCTGTGTCAGTTCTGCAAACTTTGAATGAGCCTTTGGGCAGCTGGCTTAAGTTGTGGATTCAAGAATTCATGCTGAGCATATTTGAGGAAGCACATGAGCTTCCTTCTAAGCCAAAGGCTCAAGGTCAAGAAAAACAAAAACAAGCCAGCAGAGGGCATCAGTCACACAGTTTTACAATATTTCAAACAGGCTGAATGCAGGGAACCGGGCTGGGACACAGTGCCACCTTGTGGAAGATTGATATTTCCTTTTATAAATAAATTTAGTAAGAGTCTTGGGACTCTTGCTGAATTGTGCTTTGGGAACTAGCTGAGGTCCCCACAAATTCAGGAAATAAATAGCACACAGGAACTCGGTAAATTATAACAGTTACATTTTTGAGTACCCAGTGTGTACAAGGCACTGCGTTGGGCATTTTATATACATTGTCTTATCTACGTCTCTTGATCCTGTCATACAGGTATTATATTTTAAAGTTGAGGAGACTGAGAATTCCCCTAACATCTAACAAAATCACTGCCCACCTAGGCCTATCTCTACTCACTTTCTACCATTCACATTTAATGATGTTTGGCCTCGGGAATTTATTCAACAAATATTTATTGAACACTAATTATATGACAGAACTGTTTTGTGTGCTCGTAATAGATCTATGACTCAAAGGCACAAATGTCCCTGACCTAGTAGAGCTTACATTCTAGCAGTAGACTAAGAATATATATAAGAAGGAGGTAACAGAAGCCATGGGGGGAAAAGCAATGGTAGTAACTAAGGGGGTCAGGGTAGGTCTCATGGAAAAGGCAACACTTAAGCAAAGACTTGCAGGCAGCGAGGGAATGATCCAGACTCTCGGGGAAGAGTGTCCCAGGAAGAGGAAAGAGCTGATACAAAGGCCCTTAAGAGCCCAAAAGGCTAGTTTTTCCATTGTGGTATTTGTAGCTTCAAAAATATCCTCTGTCGTCAGCTGTCACCCACTTTGGTGACTGTTACTGTCTTAAGAATCCCGAAATCTCTCTGGCCTCCTGGGTTGCTAAGGGGCTCTTTACCCGGTGCCTGCTCGTGGCTCCTGCTCCTGAGAGGCATTGAAGATGGGAAGTGGGGCTGAAAATCAGGACCCGATACAATGTCCTGTAAACTTGATTTGATTAAAAACAACTGGAGTAGCAGTTGATAGTCTTGACTCGTTTAATAGCTGCCACTTTATCTGATCTTAGTATGTGGACAGTATTGCGATTCAACAGTAACTTGTAGTATAAAAAACTCAAACAAACCCGGCGCGCATGCCGGCGGTGGAGGCGGCTGGTGTCAGACAGGCTCTGCCGTGTTCTGAAGGGCTACAGAGGCCTCTTCCTTTTCCAGAAAGCTCCTCTCCCTGTGCGGGAAGCTCGTGTTTTTAAAACAAATTCACAATTGCAAAGGTTGACTTCAGAATCTCGTGGAACTGAACCAAAGATTCCAGCATCCATTTTCCGAGTTTAAAAAAATAACAGTGTTGAGTTATAAAACAGATGTTGGCCAGTACCACAGTTTTTCCAAGTCTGGGACGAAAAGGAGAAGTGTGTCATATTTGAAAGCCATTGGAGGTGTCCCTGCCTCTAAAAGAACAGCAGACGTTGGTTCCCTGTCTCCTTGTGGCTTCGACCTGCAGGATGCCTGTCGAAGTGCCCCCGGCAGCGTGTCTGCAGTGCCCGCGGCTTAGGGGCCTTGACTTACCAGTGACACCCCGCGAGGAAAGGACTGGAAGCTTGCTTTCTGCTTACCTTTAGCTCCTTTTTCTCCATGCCTTAGACGTCTTGGGTTTTTCTAGCCGGAGGCTGGGGAGCTCTACCAACAACCCTCACTGGTCCCGGGGAAGCCGGCTGCAGAACCTGCTGGACCTAGAGCCTTTTGTCAGCAGACGACGTCAGCGTCCACACCAGCGTGTCACCTGCTCAGCCAGCGCTTGTGACTTGGAGTCTTGCGTCCGCTCTCCCATTAGACCCGCAGATCGGCCTCTGCGGGGCCGAGACGCGTTCTGCTGCTCCTTCTTGGTCAGAGGGCAAAGCCAGCGTGTTCTAGAATGTGAGCGCGGTGGGTCGAGTGGACAACCTGGTTCTAGAACTCAAATAGCTGATTTTATTTTGTAAGCTATTTTGCTCCTGTCACTCCTCTGGGGTTCCCAGGAACTAGGACATTATGATGAATTCAAGGAAGGTTTAACGCATAAATAAAGGAGTAAGGATATTTAAGAAATGTTAATTTTATTACAGGCACAATGGTTTGTTCCTCCTGATGATCGGAGTTATGGTCAAAGCTGAAGAATGCTGTACGTTTTTCACTCTCAAACGTTGAGGGAGGGGTGGGGACAGGGGTCTATTATGAAACCTGGAAACACTGCAAAGAGTAAATACATATGAGCAAACCTTCGCATGGTGTCATTTTACTCCCCACCTTTTCCTTGCCCGCCTAAGGTAAGGAAGGGACCGCACTTCTCTGCTGAGACGGGTATGGTCGCCCGGGAATTGGTTCATTCTGCTACGACCTGAGTTTTCCTTTCTCATGGTTCATCAGGTCCACCTACGTTTTAAAGTCCTCTAAACTTACATAAAATTAAGTT